ACGATGCGGTCGACGATCCCAAAATAATGCCTGTTCAATCTCGCCAGTTACACCGTTCGGGCAACAAGTCTACAGGCAAGGAATTCTACTCCGTTAATCGTTCGCTATTATAAATGTGGAAGCGAAACGCTTCCTGCGAATCGTTGGAATATCTAGTCTCCCAATGAAGAAAAGGGCAAGGCTGAAATTTCCCTCGCACACTCTCCATGATATGTCAGTATATCCATCTTCTATAGATGACTAACAATACACTCCTACGAATGGCATGCAAGTTACGCCCAATTTACATAAACGCGGAAATGAAATGAAATTTGCTTATAAACATGGTGAACGAAAAATGGAACATAGTATAATAGAACATATCGCACTACTATTACAATAGTGTTGTAACTCAAAAATGTGAAATTCAAGATTATACCATTTCTGAACGTAAAATTTCTTTCTCTACATATCATTAAAATTGTTATTAAAATATTGTAAGAAACCATTAAAATATATATACTTAACCCAGAAATAGACAAACGTTTTATGAGCTAGTTCAGGACAAAACAGTCCTTACTCAAAAATATAAAATTACTTTTCACTTATTTTTAAATATACTTCTATTTGGCAAGTACGAAATTGTTCAGATGTCTAATAAATTTTAACTTATACATAAATTATAATAATCTTTCACGGGACCTGAGTAATTCGTTTTTCAGCTATACTGAATAAATTCACATTTTGAGTTAATACACTATTGTATTAGCAATGCGATATATGTGTACCGGATGAGGCATGCAAAATTTTATTTAATATTAATTTAATTATGGCACTATCATTGGACATGATGAATAACAACAAAATAACTAACTATCAATGTTAAACTATTAAATATAAAAACTAATTTTATGTTAACAATCACTTTGAAACATTTTTTGTCTCTAAGCCATACCCATCGACTTCTAAACAATTATTTGTAGATAACGTTTTAGTGTCTTTTGGTAGAGCATTATAAATTAGGGCACACATTGCATTGATTTTTGTAATAAGCACTCACACACAATCTGGGTTTATTACTGTAGTCCAGTCTATTTGGGTCCCTTATACCTCTACTATGTACATCATGATGGAACGAAATGGAACCGTATTTTGTAAATTGTGCACAGTATAATGAAATTTATATCAATTGCGTAACGTACAAACAAGATACGATATGTGGCTGCGGGAATTCCCGAGACAGCAGCGCGAAAATTCTTTGTAAGACGCGCAACCTGTTTTTTGGTTAGTATTTAGTTTGCATGTTGCACAATTGACATAGGTTCATTATGCTATGGTTACACGGCAATGTAAATTGCTACTTAAGCGGTGAACGATCTTTTGTGTTACCCATGCGATTACGCATTTTCAAACACGTCATTATTTACCTAATATTTGATGTTTATTATATTATATATCGTTTATTCAAAAGTGGACGACAAGTATTCGATACGATTCACACTCAGCTTCAGTTTAACGTTAAGTAAATTTACAAATTACAATATGGTATATTTTATGTAAATAAAATATCAATGTTTATACGATATATTTCTTTGTGCTAACCACGGCGCAATTAAATAAATAAATAATTCGACAGGTACCTACTGTAAAATTCATATTCGTACTTTAGGCAAAGGTCTTTAGGCGGCACATTTCTAAACGCTTTTGTTAATTAAAAGATGATAGTACATAGCGAAAGTTAATGTTTAGGTACGTATCATTCATTTTGCGGAGATTTTGTATACATTTTTGGTTACGTAGTGTTACATATATAGAAAGTATATGCTTTGCGAATAAATGTACAGGAGCCTACAATTTTGTATAATTTGCTATAGAATATATTAAATGTTCTAAAAATATTAAAAATGCGAAAAGATATAAAATGCGAATAAATCTTTGATTGATTTGATTATCTGTCTGGATTTTATAAAGTGTTTTCTTGAGGCATTGTTTTTCTAACGGGGCTGACATGTTCAGGGGGTCTACTCTCGATCTCCGTCCGAAACAATTACTGCCAAATAAGCAATACTTGACCAAATGAAAAGACGCGTGATGCGAATGAAGCTTCATACTGGATACTTGTCTTTTAATTTTGTCGAATATTACTTATTTGACAGTATTGTTTCGGACGGATGTCGGACGGAGATCGAGTGGAGCCTCCCAGTAACGATCAAAGTCCCTAAATAAATAAAGAGTAAAAAAAACATTGATTAGGTACGTAGAATTCGCTGATACTTCTGGCTATCACTTATATTACTTATTACACCGTTCGCGATTTGTTTTTCTTTTCAGTTTTATGTACCTTAAATGGAAAAGTGTTTGATTTTACCATTCATATTCAATGTTTTCGCTCGTACACGTGCAACCAAGACACAACTGGAATAAACTGCAACCAATGCCGCGTGTTTTTCTTGATTTAGTCCAACTGTTATCGTTTTTGGTTTGTGGTCGCTTTTTGAAAAATTTCATATAATTCATCGTATTAATGTTCCAACTATGTATTGCTTGAAATTACAAATGTTAAATGAAATATGTTTTATCTTTATTAATGTGTTGAAACAGGGCCACTGAAGTATTTTAATATGTTCTTCTTGCACAAAAAATAAATTTCAAATTGTTTAGAATAACACCCGTTCCTACAAAAGTAAAATTCACATGAACACATGCACAAAAATGAACCACATTTGCAACCACAGAAATTTAAAAAAAATTGTTTACGTTTCTGTGTTTGCAACAAAGGAGTAGTGTGGTTTCGTAATAGTTTATTAGGGAAGTGAAACAGGGCTAAATTTCATAAGCCATTGCGGTCAGAACATAATGTAAATACTCGGAGAACAGACTGTTCCTAGGGTTTGTAAAAACAATAGAAATTTTATATGCGGCATAACAATTCGGATCAATGAGCGTATCAATACAAACATCGTAACAACCATTTTTCTCCCTGAGGAGGTACTCACACCATTTGCAGAGGCTCAGACTTCGATCTGTACAAACAAAATCTTCAGTTTTCTACTAAATATTGTAATGTGGGATCTGAAATAAAGGCCATTTAATTAAAAGAAGATTTGTGATCGGTCAGTCATGTCGTCGGCGGTCTTAAGCGGCGTACTAGTACGTAGTGCTTTACGTTGCAGTACGTTGTCCCACGGCTATGAGACACGGAGGGACATTAATTTAGATATTGTAGATAGAATACTTTGCTTCAATTCAAAGACTTAAAAAGTAGCTTGCCTCATCTGGGAATCGAACTGACCAAATGTGACAAAAAATCATGTATCTTTATGGTATATAACACATTATAAATTTATTTATAGCAATACAGCTCCTAAAAGAAGTTCAAGAGTGAAAAAAGTAAAAGAGTTCGTGGAGGGAAGTACAGCAACCCTACCTATTTCTGTCGCCAAGCAGTATTGTTAACTTATGTCTCAGGGTGACGCGTGCAGTAACAGTGCCCTCAGATCTTTGCGATTTAAAGTTCTGAGTGGCACTGCAACGGCTACGGGCAGGCGTTCGCTCAACACCAGGCTCACGACGTTTTCGTCAAGTTACTTGGAATCATTAAAAAAAAGTATACCACACTCAACACAACACCGGCACTGTTAAATCAGCACAAAAAAATGAGAACATAATACGGTAAGGTTTACTTTTAATTACATAAGAATTAAATATATAGTAGCAATTAAGTTAACATCAACTTCGGTAAGTCTTTCACTATATTAAAAAATACAAATGTGACATGTGATGCCTATATTAAATAAATCGAAATTACTCAAAGTGCACTTTTTTATTTGATTCAAAGCATAAACTCTTTGAACCAAATTTAAAAAATGCACTTTATGTAAACGACTACGATTCGGTACACTGAAAATTTAAAACATTCATCATGTTTAACATTGATTACAGTGTTAAGCAATTTGATTTAATAATCAAAGTTTAATAAATAAAAAAATAAGGTTACGAAATGTACAAGAAAGTAAAACGAAACTCGATACCCTCAAACAAACCTGTGGTAATAGGAAAAACAAATCCCAGTAGCCAAACCAGTCTGACCATCAATCTGACCAATGGAAAACATTGGTATTAATATAGGAAATAAAAAAAAATATAAATGAAAAAAATTACAGTCAACTAATTTCCTTTGTTGCCCGTACCGTTACCAGCATAGATTTAGTATGTAGGTTCACTAAATCTGTGGTTACCAGCTATACTACCACTGCACTAGTAAGACGGGCAACAGTACTTTCCGTTTTATTTTAAAATTAAACCAAAAAATAAAAAATGTAATAAACGACCACGACAAAAAACTGCATTATTTTGCGGACTTTACCAGTGTTTCGTTAAATGTGCTGGTGTATGTATGTATTAAGTGGACCTTATTTGTATAATCTGTGTACTTCAGATGCCCGCTGTTCTTACAAAACTTATAGGACACAAACAAATCAGATCGCATCGCCAACATATAGATACAGTTTAAAAAAGTGCTTTCACTGTGGCAGCTTTGTGTTGATTGAAAACGAAGGATGTTTTAGGTTAAAATTTAAATCTGAACAGACTTAGGTTAGATCTTTAACATCAGCTGACCTACGTCATCCTCAATATAGCATTTTGTAACTGTAAAGTTCAGGACCATACCCCCTTCTGTCTCTTAACAATTTTAATTTTAGGTCATGTTTGCGGATGATACCGTGGAGTACATTGATAACTTCCTTAGAGACTGAACAATTTTGGACCGTGAACTGGTACCTTTGCGCGATGCTAGTTTATACTGCTTTTTTACATAGGGCAAAATTTAACTTGGCATCTGTTATGTTCAAAACTATTTCCGTGAAAGTACCTCAATTTGCAGGACGTTGAATCATGGAAATATAGGTATTATTTTATAAACAATAACTACAGAATTTGTTTGGTAAAGATACCATTGTACCGCGTGTTGGAGTGTTCTAAATAATTAGAACTATAGTCCAATAATAGGCGATTTGATGAAGAAAAACAATTTTATTGATGTGAGTAAAATAGTGTATTCATGTCGCCGCAACGACGTATTTATTCGTTATTAGCAGAGATTTAACAATGTAATTCACACGAAAATGATACCACGATATTTTATTGGTTACCAGTTATTAGTGAGAAATGGTGTTACATATTTTGTGTGCTAGGTGGGTTTGCGAATTTTAGCTAAGCCGGATTTACATTTGTCTGACGTGTCGTGTCTTGACATTTCAGAACGGTATCGGTTTCATACATTTAATATGGTTAGATTTATATTAGTGTGCCGTAAGACGGCTTGTGTTGTGTGTTTGGAACCGACATCGTTGTGACGCGTCACGATGTGTCGTTCATTGTAAAAGTAAATTATCTCTTTGTAATAAAATTTTTAAACAACGATCTTTTTGCAAATTAATGAGTAGGAAAAAAATGCAAGTGTTCATTCAGTGTTTTAAATTTTTCATTGTTAAACAAATCGAAGGTATAATAATTTGTTTATAATGCAGGATATGATGAAATGTGATACCATTATATGTTTTTTTAAATATGGACTTACACCACTTCTACAATGACAGACACAAATGTAAATCCGACTTTAACAGGTTGAATTTTTATCTTTTCGCTATATTTTAATGAATAGGCTGAATAACATTAATGATTAATTGGACGTGTTCTCCGAGTCGCCCTTGCCATCACTAACGGTGGGCATGTAGTTGAAGAGTAAAGCTTTTTTGTCATAACCGCACCGGAACAGATTCCACGCCATGTCCTCAGGAGTGTCTCCGGACTGGTTGGCGCAGCTCTCCAATGCCTGCAAAGTTCATAAATTACTTTTCTATTCTTCAGAGATAAATAAGTTTTGCTGCGTGTGTAGATCTGTATTTCGTACGTACAAGTCTTCGCATCGCATCACTGGAAGCATCCTGCGTTCTGCGTTTTTATTCAAAATGTTACTGTTTTTACATTATCCAATGTTTTGTTCGCTTATCAAGATGCCACTTAAAAACTACTACACAGAGCGTAACACGTATATACGTTGATACTCCTTGGACACAGATTAACAATATATATGTATCTTTTATATCGATCGAAAGTTTAGCATCATTTTGTTATTGTTTTGTTATTTTCTTTAGTTATATTGTTCTATTTTCAATTTATTGTGGCGCAAATGAATAAAATGAAATCCGAAAAGCCTATTAAAGTTTTAAGAGCAAAAGTGCGGTGTCGAGGTATTATTCGCCATTTGAATTCAGGTACGTATTATTCTCGAATAGCTGGTCAGTACTCTGAAAAATCATTGGCGAAACATTAAAATTGGACTAACGTTGTTTTAAAAATGAGAAAGTTTTATTTTTTATAATATCAAGTACAACGAACAAGTTCTGCGCCTGATAGTAAGCTACACGCCTGTCCACAACGGTTGCAGTGCCACTCAGAGCTTGAAGTCGCAAAGATCTGAGGGGCACTGCCACTGCGCCCGTCACCTTGAGACATAAGTTGACAAGTCCCATGTGCCTGTTATTTCACCAGCACCCTTACTCTTCAAAACCGGAACACAGTAATGCTGACGTTACTGCTTGACGAAATAGATAAGGTGGCAGTACTTCCCTGGACGAACTCTTTCACAAGGAGCTCTACTGCTAATAAAGTACAAAAAACTACCTCTGCGGCCGAACGGTTACCATGCCGAACGGCCACGCAGTAGTCCCGGGTGCGATTCCCGGGCCGGGAGAAATATTTGTATGGCCTATATTTCTCTGGTGAGTTTGGGTGTAATTTGTGGTTGTCTATGCGAATGTCCAGGGCACCCGCGATACAGGGTTTCCCTAGTGCGGGGCTATGTGTATGCGTAAAAGAAAGTGTTAAAACAGTTGACGCAGCATGTGTATGGTGCACGTACTTCTAACTTTTGGACATTTTTTTAATTAACAGGTACCCAGCCCAAAGTTACCCTACTTTGACACACTGAACAAAAATTGTTCAAAAATCAATTAAGGGAATTGGCGGGTTGGCGATCGTGGTAAAATTTAAATTTAAAACACTAAAAAATAAGTTTTTGAAATTAATTGAATCCCATAACAGGTAATTTAGCTTTTAGTTCACGAACTAGGAACAATTAGATAGGTCAGTAATTGATAGTCGTTAACGTTTGTCCATGTACCCGTAACTTTCTTTTCATATAATTTTGACAACTACCATTTACCATTACCATTGCCATAATAATAATAACGCACACACTTAAAATAGCCCCGCACTAGAGAGACCCTGTGTCGCGGGTGCCATGGACACATAGATAGACAATCACAAATTACACTCAAACTCACGAGAGAAATTAAAGTTAGAGCCATACAAATTTCTTCGACCCGGGAATCGAACCTGGGACTTCTGCATGGCAGTCCAGCATGGTAACCGTTCGGCCACGGAGGCAGTTAATATAATAATAAGTATGGAAGGGGCAGGTGGGGTAAGAGGAACACCGGGGATAGATTGACACCCACAAGCACCGAAAATAGTATAGGCACATATTTTCGACTTTTGGATTTGGAGTATCGTAGCGATATGTCTTTAAAATGGTTTAAACTGAGTTGTTTGTTTGTTTTATCGGCTGAGAGACTATAATGCTATATTACATTACGAGTTAAGGTCTCATGCCCGACTTCCCCCGGTGTTTCGCTTATCACACCTCTTATTATATTTTTGCAATTTTCAATGTTTAAATAAATTTGTGTGTTGCTGAACCTTCCGTTACACATTTTTTTTATAATGTCAAGTGACGGGACGAACAAGTCACGCGCCTGAAGGTAAGCTACACGCCTGTCCATGACAGTTACAGTGTCACTCAGAGCTTTACATCGCAAAGATCCGACACTGCCACTGCGCCCGTCACCTTGAGACATAAGTTGACCAGTCCCATGTGCCGTAATTTCACCAGCACCCTTACCCTTCAAAACCGGTACACAGTAATGCTCACATTACTGTTTGGCCGCAGAAATCGGCAAGGTGGCAGCACTTCTCTGGACGAACTCTTTCACAAGAAGCTCTATTGCTACTAAATACACATACCTTGGTATCATTCTTTCCGTCTGCTCTGTTAGCCATTTTGCCCAGTATTGCCGCTTTCTGGAGTTTTCCGTCTTTGCTGATCATTTTGCATTTAAGAAGGACGCAGTAGACATGGCTTTTGAGCGCTTGATCATCAACAAGTTCTCCATTCAGGAGTAACTCTACAAGCTTGAGATCAACTCCGGAGTGCGTTAAGCATGCGTCCGAGTGGGCACGGAACATAGCCTTTTCCTCCTTTCCCATTGCCTATAAAAAAAATCAAAGTGACACTTGAAGTCAATTCGTAATCATTTAAGTTGAAAATAATGAGAGAATGACTTGACACTTACGATGCAGTTCTTGCATCCTGTTGTAGTCTGAAAAATAAAATACCAGTTTCCCATTAATAACAGAAGTAATTAATCATAAACAACATTGTTAAGTACTTGGATGGAAAATCGATTGTAATAAAGAGTGCATTGAAAATAATCACCTGATAAACTCCTCCAAAAGCGCCGAGCATCACGAAGGCTAACAACCAAGTCATCATTAATATTTTATTAGTCTGTCGCGTAAGAACAAGAGCAGCAACAACGCAACCACTTGCAGCCGATGCAGCACCTCCAATCGCGTGCGCTCCGGTGAGATCTGTGATTTATTAGCGGGCGCATCCTAGCTTGAGTCACGCCCACCTACCACGATACACTGGCGATTCTTTACAACTCGCTAGCTTTTGATATTTTAATCGCCAATTTCTTTTTAATTCATAAAGCCATTGACTATTTTTACATACTTAGCATATTCCTACTTAATTAATTTTATTCCAAGGAACCTCCGGAGTTTACTTAATAAAAACATTACTATAATAAAATCTGATCTAAAATTTATTGATATCTTTTCAAGTATTAATGTAGCATTAACAGGAGTTATGAAACACCTGAAAAGGAAAAGAAGCGAGATATCCAGTTATCTTGGTAGCGGCGGAATATTTTGAAATGGACAATGCAGGTGTTTGTTTTGGAAATATACAGCGGACGCAAATTCACAACATCATTGGATGGATCACTCGCCAAATATTTGCAACCATTGTCTCATCTATTTATTTACAGGACTAAAACCTTAATTACTAGGTAATATTTTTCATCACTTGAAGCCATGGTAGATTATTGGTTCGAATCGAGGCTCCCACTTCTGAGTTTCTCGGAATTCATGTGCGAAATTTAATATCAAATTTACCATGACCTTTTCGGTGAAGGAAAACATCTCGTTTATTAGCAGTAGAGCTCCTTGTGAAAGAGCCCTTCGTCCAGGGAAGTACTGCCACCGTACTGAGTTCCGGTTTTGAAGGGTAAGGGTGCTGGTGAAATTACAGGCACATGGGACTTGTCAACTCATGTCTCAGTGCCCCTCAGATCTTCGCGACTTAAAGTTCTGAGTGGCACTGCAACTGTTAGGGGCAGGCTTGTAGCTTAGCATCAGACGCACGACTTGTTCGTCCCGTCACTTGTTGTTATTTAAAAAAAATCTTGTTAAAACCTGGACGTCGAAGAAGGTTTACAACCCTCGAATAACGTGTGAAGTCCCCAACCCGCATCGGGTCAGCGTTGCGGACTATGGCCTAAACCCTCGCTTGGGAGGAGACTCGTGCCCAGAAGTGGGATGTATAAAAGGGTTGATGATGATTTTTTTCAACACTTACCTAAAATTTGACAGATCCATAACATTTGTCAACAGTTCAGCAACGTTTGAGTAGTTTTATTTAGATTCGGACAGCAATTGTTAAAAATGCAGAAGTCAAATGTTTAGTTGTTAATTTTTCATCAAAATCATTATACCTCAATATTAACATCTGCAATAATGAGACGAAAAGTGATTCACATAGTTCATATGTAATGAATAGTGCAAACACTACATACTTACGTAAGAGTATTTATATTTAGGTTCCTATAACTAGATTGTCATTTATTATTGCTTTTCTATATACGAAGCACAACTGAAGATTTATTATTTAATTGTTATTTCAACAATACGATCATTAAACGCAAAATTTCCTGGAAAAATAACAATATATTTTATTAAATATAAGCAGTTTATAAGCAGAGGAGTGAGGTAACGCGGGTTTGCGAGTGATGTTATGTATACCACCTAAATACCAAAATCTAGAGACCAAAATATCTTGTTCTCCTTGATTCGATCTGAAAACCATCTACGTATTTTAGACATCTGCTCTACAACCTATAACCATATACTTATGTGTAAGTTGATGTAATCTGCTGAACAGGCTCTAAAAGACAATCCTCTTTCATTGTTATAAATCTATGATGTTATTATTATGACGCGAATAAAATGCGTCAACCTCAGTCCCAGATAATTTCAATCGTAAATATAAAAAAAAAATATGTAAGCGCATTGTCGAAAACGATGGAACGTGAACATATGGACAAGGTGGGTACACACACGCCAATAGGACGTCAGTGTACTGGGACTTGATTATGCAGCAGTGTTGTTGCTGATATGGGTTTTTTACACGTCAGCCGATGCTGATTTTATATTATGGTTTGATATGATTGTATATCATTTGAAAAATTTACATCCTTACGGAATCTGTCTACGTGAAAAAGCTTTCTATTTTCTTTGGTATTGTAATAAAATATTATTTCAATATTTCGTAATATCTATGAATTTTATCAATGTTATATCTTAGAAACAACAGTCTGTTTCTGGAAGGTTTGTAAATTATTCTAGCGTGTTTTTAGGTCATGTCACAACTCGAACATCCGCAATCAATATCAGCATCGATGAATACGGATGCTGATGCGGATGCGGTTATTTAAAGTTATGCTGTTTATCTGCTGATCCTGATATTCGCAACAACCCTGTTATGCATCAACATAAATGCAGTCTACGGTAAACTAATAGGGCCGAGTCACAGTAGAGCTCTAGTTTCTTATATTGTTTGATGAATTCCAGAACTATTATTGCTTACTACTTATCAATTATTATTACTTACTAAGGATTACTTTATTAAGTCACTTCATGTTTGTAATGGTAGTTCTGGAATTCATCAAGTGTGCTATTGCACACTTGGAATACGGATTGTATTATTGTAAATGGCACACATTGAATTTAAAGTTAGGTAAGTATAAAATTAAATCTGTACATGTTGTGTTGTTGTAGCCAAAGTAATTAAAATGAAATAACAAATTAAAATTGTAAAAACCCCCGACACAAAAGATAAACTCTAAAAGTTAATAATAATTTATTATTATTTTTGAATTATTTCAAATTGTTAAATAGGTGTCAATCCAAAATGCTAACATACTTATATCGAAGCAATTTAACTATACTCAGGCTAAATACGATGTACAAAAAATGTCAACAAACAAAAACGTAACATTTTTAGGATTTTCATCTCAGACTCTTTCACAGTTACAACAATTTCAATATTTTCCCCCCAATTCAAGTAGATTATGGATAATACTAAATCTTGAAATCATGTTTATAATAAATACTGTTCAACAGAAATTTCAAATCACCTAAAAATGACATAAAAAAGACCATTATTTAACTACACACATCAAAAGTGTCTAGGGATCAAGTACGTTTAAGAGTATTGCTGCAATTAGGGTTAATTATATTAACTTTTTTGCATCGCTATTGATACTTTTTAGTGAGTTTTAACATTTAAATAAGGAATATTGTTTAAAATTCGATAATAAGAAGAAAATCGATTGTCAATGTGGTTTTGTATAAAAATGAGTTATAGCGTTTTGACAAAATCGTTACAATATCTGCATCGGAACCGAAACAATTTACATTATTATGGAGAGACGACATCATTTAACCCGAGAAGTGATGATGCGAGCCGTCGGAATGTTGGAAGCTGGTTCCAGGCAACGTGCTGTGGCTTTCACTCTTAACACTACACAGAGCGTCATAAGTCGCCTCTGGACGCGCTATCGCATGACGGACAGCGTGGCCCAGCGACATTGGAGGACGATCTCGCATCACGACTCGCAGACAGGACCGGTATATCCAAAATACTGCTCGACGGAATCGTACCATGACCGCCATGATGTTGGTTACGAGGCTCCACAGCTCCTCAGGCTTGCTAATAAGCGATCAAACAATCCGAAATCGTTTACGTGAAGTGGGTCTGCGATCCCGAAGGCCGCTCAGAGTTCCACCTATTGCACCCTGCAATCGCAGGACCCGTTTACGATGGGCTCGCGAACACAGAAACTGGGAGGAAGAAGACTGGCGCTATGTGTGCTTTTCGGATGAATCCCGCTTCGGTATGAGACCGGATACAAGACGTACTCGAGTTTGGAAAACATCTGGACGTCATGAAAGTTTGAGATATTGTCAGGAAGTTCATCCATATGGTGGGGGAACAATAATGATATGGGCCGGTATTTGGATCGGCGGAAGAACCGATCTCATTTGGATCAGGGGTAACCTCAATGCTCAAGTTTACGCAGAGAGGATTGTTTCAGATGTTATCATCCCTTTGCACAACGCACGTCCACACACGGCTAGAGTCGTAACACGCATTCTTGCCGAAGCTCGTATCAACGTTCTGCCATGGCCTGTTCAATCGCCAGACCTCAATCCAATTGAGCACGCATGGGATATGCTTCAAAGAAGAGCTGTGCCGAGTATGCATACCGTACATACTCTACAACAATATTTTGACTTGTTACAAAACACATGGGCGGCCATTCCTCAAAGTGGTTTTGATGAACTCATCTTAAACATGCCAAATCGCTGTAATTGTGTGATTCGTGTTAATGGTGGAAATACAGATTATTAATTTTCTTATCTTTACAATAAAAATGAGCAAAATCATCATTTTCGCCATTTTTTTGTCATTTAATTGACGCCGTTAATTTGAGTTTTTTCCCACAATTTGCAAAAACATCAATTTTAGTTTATTTTAATTAAATATAGGGGTAAGCGGTTAAATAAAACATAAGCATTAAAGTAAGAAGTCGTCCTGGAAGACTGGATTTGGTAAATATTGCTTAAATAATTTATATTTCAAAAATATTCACTTGATCCCTAGACACTTTTGATGTGTGTATTTGGAAAACTGTGTCATCCCTAGTGACTTTTAAATTTGAAGGGAGAGATTACAAACATTCCAGTTCTGGTGGTTATTCAAGTTCAGAATCGGAGATAGATGCTGGATGATATAATATGTGATACCTACCGTCTTGTTTTTATTTACTTATTTTGTAAACTTAATAATAATTGGCTAGGTAAGTATTACTTCTACGCAACCCAATTACCTATTTACCTATTTAAATTCCAATTAAAGGAGCATTGAAAAAATGTTGTTTTCCTGTGCCGTCAGTGGTTGCCTAGCAACGTTTTGTTATTAAACAGTCTACATCGAATTTGGCTGGAGTATAGTTAATACTTGATACTAGTTCACTGGTTTTCTTTTTCAAAAATATTGACCCCGTATTTTGTTTACATAGCGATTCCCTTTAGGACTCAAACTCGGTAAGTCTATTTATAATAATAGCATTTGCGCACTACATCCGATTCGTATTCGTTCCTAATCCGATACGATACAAATCTAGAAAACTCGGATCCACTTCGGATGTCGCTTGTGCACTAAGTCCGATTCGAAGATATGATCCCTGTGATATTTCGGACTGTCATTTCTCGGGTACGGAACCGGGGGTCTACTCTCGATCTCCGAAACAATCCGTCCGAAACAATTACTGTCAAATAAGTAATATTCTTCTCATTCTTTTCATTTGGTCAAGTATTGTTTATTAGGCAGTAATTGTTTCGGACGGAGATCGAGAGTAGACCTCCAAGCCCTGTACTCTCGTTCTCCGTCCGAACATCCGTCCAAAACAAGACATCCGTCCAAAACAAGACATCCGTCTGAAATAGTTGCTGTAAAATAAGCAATATTTTTCTAAATTAAAAGACGTCGTAACATGCGTTTTTGAATTTGGTCGAGTATTACTTATTTGAGTATTACTGATTATACAGAAATTGTTTCGGGCGTATGTCGGACAGAGAATGAAAGTAGACCTCCAGATACGAATCGGACGCAGTGGGCAAACGCTCTAACGCTGAGTTCATGTGTCCACACACGTTCCTGCTCCACGGTTAGGCCCTAGTCACCATATTGCACTGTTAATGCAATAGCGTATTAAAATTAACGCGTATTAGCGTATTCATTTAGCGTATTAAAAGTGTACTTTTTCAGAATCGATGAAAAACAATTTACTCACTTCTCCTGAAAGATGATTAAAATTGTATGTATAGGTTAAAGTTTATTGCAGACATGTAAACAATTTCCTATTCGTCAAATGTATTTGAAAATGAAAGGGAAAACATAATTTCATATTTTTGAGTAAGGATTGTTTTATTCAGAACTAGGTCACAAAAACTTTGTTTCATATTGAGTTAAGTAGATATCTTTTTATTGTTACGGCTGTTGTATTGACGTGTAGAGATTCAAATTTTACGTTCAGCAATAGCAAAATTCGAATTTCACATATTTTGAGTTACAACACTATTACAATAGCAGTGCGATGGGCCCAACGGTCACTCAGGTAGACCATTCTAATGAATCTAAACAGTAGGTAGGTACTATACATTTGACAAACCTAACATCCTGTCACCAACTACGTTCCTGCTCCATCATCAGATTTTGATCACTATGTGTCTACCAACTACTTGTAAAGACCAATCCTATGAGTCCAAATTCGGTGAGTCTACATTTAGGGTCGTATTCCAGAACTCTACTCAATACTCAAGTCAGGACTTGACTATTGCAGTGAGCACTGAAAATCATACTCAAGTCCTTGCCATTAGGGTCGTATTTCCAGTGCTTGAAATCATACTCAAGTCTGCTCAAGTCCTGACTTGAGCATTGAGTAGAGTTCTGGAATACGACCCTTAATAAGGTCGAGTTCCTGAGTCCAGGTTCCTGGTGGCCTACCATAACCTTTCCAAAAACAATCTTATTTCAAAGTAAGCATAAAGTAAGCTTATTGTAATATTACTCATTTTCGTATCATGACAAACCTCATCATTATTATTATTTAGTATCAACCAAATAATGTATTATGGTTAAAGTGACTGAAAGAACGAATGATTTCCCAATATTGACTGTTCCTTACTAAAGGTAGGAAAGAAATAACGTTATATGAACTGTATAATACCATCTCTTTCTTTTTAACCGACTTCAAAAAAGGAGGAGGTTCTCAATTCGACTGTATGTTCTTTTTTTTGTATGTATGTTACGCGATAACTCCGGTATTTGTGAACCGATTTTCATGCTTCTTTTTTTGTTGGAAAGGGGGTACTTCCATTGTGGTCCCATTTAATTTTGAAGAAAATCATCCATCTCGAAGGGTGGCTGTTCACGCATGAAGATTCATTTTCATAAATAGCGCCTAACATTAATTTAGGAGCAGTTACTTTAATGGTTGATTTTGCTATTTTTCCAATTCAAGGCGTATTTCTCTCAGTATACTTTGAGTAGTGTCGTAGTGAGAGCCTATTTTTATTATCTCAAGTCCTGTATAGTGGCGAACTAGGGGATATATCAATAAAACTTAGCAAATAGACGTAATTCCACGTACTTTTGAGGTCGCTTTTTTTTATACTCTCTACTGAGATTATTTGATGTTCCGAATCGTCTTATCGTAGTATAATGTTTAAGTACCTAATGTTATTTTCATTCATAGAATTTTGACTGTTAAAAAAAGAAAAGTATGTAATAATAAAATCTATTATTTATTAATTACGTTGTTTTCTATAATTATTCCGCATTTTCATGACGAAAAATAAATAAAACAAGCTGAGTTTTGATAGCCACGTTGTGAATTCGGAACTATAGTGTAGTGTCACCTGTTGGTTTCACCAAGGAGAATGTAAATGGCGCTGTTATAATTTTACGAAATAAACATAGCGTAAATTTATTTAACGAAAAATTATTTACTATGTGCTATTAAATAAAAAATAAACAAAATATTGAAGAGATACATTATGTAAATAAATAAGTTAAAAATTATTTACTATGTGCTATTAAATAAAAAATAAACAAAATATTGAAGAGATATATGTAAATAAATAAGTTCAACCTAACTTTTAATCATTACAAATCAATATTAAGACAATAAAACTGAAAATAATATTGTTTCCATTGCATCCGTGTACCTATTTTAAGATTACTAAATTTGACATAAGAGTAATATTACTTTATGTTAAAGTCGCGTCATAGTACGAACTGATTGAATGAATAGTCACAAAGCTGCCAATAAAACATCATAGTTTTAATAATACAATAAGCTTACTTTAAGCGCGTTATGGTACGAAAAGTCAATATAAGGTTAAAGCAATATTGTTTTAAGAGGTTGTGGTAGGCCCCCTGGCACAAGTTTGCTGATTTTCTGGAATAAATAAAACCACTGGTCATAGTAATTCCACTGAGACTCTACTAAAACGATATTGCAATTATGACTATATTTGTTATTCTGCTAAAATCTAGTTGCTGGTTGCTAGTTACTGGCAGTTTCAATGGTGTGCCAGTGGCGTCGGGTATATAACTAGAAATAGAGACGAAATAAGCCACCCATCCCTGGCAACACTGGCAATCAGGTAAAGGACTATCCACACACATCAGGGCCGTGCCCGGGACGTGGACGGAGCGTGCTAGTTTGTATGAATTGCGGGCCCGTCCCGGCCTCGGCCCGGACACGGACATGTGTGAACGAGTTCATACAAAATATATGTGTATATATAGACCTTTAATGGGCCTTATATCACTTTTAAATATCAACTCTTGTTTGCGCTGAAATCATAAATTAGAAAACTGAAATAGTACAGCGCCAACAACTAACCTGTGTTTACGTCTCCGTATATTCCAAAAATATTCTGTATTTATTGTTAATAAAGACAATATCAGTATTACAATCTCTCATATAAAAATTAAGTTGTTCCGTGGTGTGGGAAAAACAGCAAATCATTTAATTACAAAACAAACGGAATCACATTTCATCGATATGTAATTTTGCAATTTTCGTCCATTATAGCAAAGCTCAAGTTAAACTGGTCAATTTGAAGTGAAACAATTGACGACACCCGTCAATTGTTTTGAATTCGATCTGGCCAATCGGAGCGCAGTTGTGTTTGCATTTAGCAGAATAGTTTTCAAACAAATTAAATGAGATTTCGTCTCTATTTCTGGTTACTAATCGATGGTCAGTGCAATGGCAGTGATGGCATTCGTTCATTCAATCACTAACGATCGATGTTGCCTTAATAAAACTATCATGGAAATTACTATGCATAACTTAATTTCTAGTTTTATTCTTTTCCCTTCCTAGTACTTTCTCTCTTTTTAATCAGCAATTTAGTCTTCAAACAAAATGTATATATTTTATGTCACATAATCAGTAGTCTACGTCACTGACGAGCAGAGTACCAAAAAATTGCTATGGCAGTTGAATAACAACTGGCTAGCCTCAGGCAAGCCACTACTTTTAACAGAATGCCAAACGTACAAAATGGTGCCATTGACACTATCGACACACAACGAGATTGAAAATAATTACAACTTGTTTATAAAAAATCGACTCAAAAGTTCGTGGAATTACATTTATTTGCCAGTTTTGCCAAGCACCCACTTTCCGTTAATCTATTTCAATAAAAAATGGCAAACAGAAGTATTTCCAAAAACTTTTGAGGTTTTTTTATGTAACTTCAGTAAGTATTAGTATTTTTATTAAGGAACACGTTAGTGCAGCGCGACGTGATTTGTGAAGCAAATGTGATTTGTGATTGTGGCGAATTACAGCAGTCGCTACAAAGTTTCTTTGCACATTTATTTAATATAGTTTTTTTAGCAATTTTAGTTTTAGATTTAAATTCTATATTTATTTATTTCTATATTCTATACTTGTTTCAGGCGCTTTTTTCTTTGTTATTGTCGCTATTATTTCTGTTTTCCTAGTAACTGTATATTGTCGTGTAAATGGTACACTTCCGTCGGTCTAATTATATATATAATAGCACCCACCCGAACCACATTTATACAGTCCGCAACAATTATTAAACTATTTATATTGATAATTATTCTAAGAATGATTAGGTAAGTCAGTAATGTAGGCCCATTGTTCGTCAACTAACAAGTCTACTGCATAAGAATTGAGTTAGAAAGACTCAATTCACTGAGAAAGTAATGGTGTTTCGTCCAGTTACGATGCAGTACAATAGTATTTTGAACTGCTCTATTATGTTGGTATTGAAAATATTTCAAGAAAATGCGCACAATAGAATCGCCGTGCCAGTTTTATTCACTTATAGAAAATGGTCGAACACACTTATTAACGCGGAATCGCATTAAGCCGATCTGAAAAGGCTTTATGCCCGTGCATTAGTAGCAGTTTCCGAGTTAAAGAGGGGAGGGTCGGCTCGCTTGATCCATCGCCCCAGACGGTTGAGCCCGTGTAATGAAAAAATAATATCAGCCTCTCACGATTTCCCGCTGCTCAGCATGGCGGCTACCACGCAACGAAAAAATCTCCTCCAATAGTCGCTACCAGAGAGTGCGCACTTTGCGCACACCTCCATACGATTGCGGTCCGCGTCGACGCACTCATGGCGGGAAAAGTTAGCAGTAGCAGAGCTCCTTGTGAAAGAGTTCTTCCACAGAAGTACTGCCACCTTACTTATTTCTGCCGCCAAGCAGTAATGTGAGGATTGCTGCGATTCGGTTGCGAAGCGTAAGGGTGCTGGTGAAATTATAGGCACATGGGACTTGTCAACTTATGTCTCACGGTGTGTTACGGACAGGCGTGTCGCTTACCATCAGACACGTCGTGATTGTTCGTGCCGTCACTGAGTATTATAAAATAAATGCAACAACGTTGCGAGTTTCGCTTTCGCTTTCGCTCGTATTACATGGACTTATAATTTTTTCTGACCGACTTAATGCGATTTCGTGTCGATAAGTGTGGTGACTACCTAATGATGTCTTTTTCAATTTATAGAAAGTTACGTTAAGTGGAATTATGCAGGTAGGAGCGACGAGTAATAACACCGTTTTTCCTTTACTCCAATTTACAATACCTTTGGTCCAAACGATGTATGCAGACGCTGGATGGTGGATGGTTAGGTTTTGCAGTACATATCCTTTGAATAACGCATGGAGCCATAACTATTGCTAGAAATGCAGTGAATATTATCCCCATCGCGTTGCTGATGTTCTACGGACAAAAACTTAAATTTTTTAATTATACTTCACCTATTCACGCATCTGTGACCCGTATTAAGGTATATAAAAAACGGATAAAACCTGTATAAATGACGTAAATGGATCGTCATGTGAAATTTGTTTATTGAAAATTGACGATACAGCAGTTCACGTTAAGGCAGTAAAGTGTCCAAAAAAGACTTCTGATTTAGCGTCCCATAGTGGGTAGGTAAATTTTCCACACCTACATTGTACCCAGATACATAATACATACACCACGGTCTACGCAAGCAGACTGATCTTCATTGGTTAGGACTCTACACTACGTTTCTTTAGCTTCTTATGCGTAGACACTTATTAGTTTCTATTAATAAATATGAGGGACATCGTGGTAATTGGGAAATCTACAAAAATCAAGGAAAGACATCACAAATTTCATCAACACTCATAGGTTATTGAACTTAGCATAATGCCGATATCATGAACGTCGAAGTAACGGAACTATGATTAAGCCAAATAATTATTTTGGTTGTTCAGCTCTCGACCAACTCCGTTGTCTTCTCGTAGTCGTTTACACAGTGTCTGAAAACCTTGGTCGTGAACCAAAGCGTGAACTAAAACATGGATCTTGAGAACTTTGTCAGTTTTCTATTGAAAGTTGTTCGGTGCGCTAAGTTGCCTACTCTGTGCCGGACAAAAGGTGAAACGAGAAAATTCAGTGAAAAATGTGACACACCGACAAAGATCGCACCATTATTAAGCTGAAGTTGCTGTTGTGGGTTGGTTTTTTCCGAGTCGGACTAATGGCTGAAGTAGTAGCGTCGTGAGACACCCACCAGCAAAATCTTACAACGTCGAAACGACGCTCCGAATGAGGGAGGAACAGCACCGAACTTTCTGGCGAAATTAGGAGACCTTCGTCCATCTCTGGGTTACCATTGGTTGATTTTACATGAAGGAATAAAAGAAAATCAGTAAAAATCACGATCAAGCATACCTAATATCTTATCTATCTTAATTACCACAATCTTCAAAACTACTTCATTACTATGAATAATAATAATAATATCAGTTTAGTACATTGTACGAACCTTAAAAAGGCAATATTCCGTTTTAATATTTAGGTATCTCCAAATAAGGTGCGTTCAAATTGACGGAATTCATAATAGCTATTGATGCTAATAGGGTGTGCAAACCACAGCATTATCACAAAGGTTAATATCGAATAAAAACAATACACAAACAACGCAGTACTACACGAATAGGAAAAAATCCCGTTTTACTCGGTGGACATTATGCCGGCATGTCGAGACAATGAATGAAATGAACAATTAAGCTTTTAGTTTCTGAAGTAAATTTATGACGCCAATGATGAAAAATGCCAGTTAGGCACGCTGTCAATTAATTTTTTCTTCTGGTTCTGCTTTATTTCTGGCCGGACACACGTATTCTATTTTCTTTTTATCGTTCTACTTCTTTGATTTTAGGTTCCTGTTAATGTAGGAAATTAATAGGTCAGTTTAAGTGAATAGTATCATTGTAGTCGGTTACTTTCTTTGACGAAATAGAACGAAGCAACACAAGCTGATTTTCAGTTGCATCGAAAATGCAAATAGCAGTACATAAGAGTCACCACAACTGCATTGTTTTTATGTTTTATAATATCAAATGACGATCCAAACAACTTGTGCGACTGGTAGTAAATGACACGTTTGCTCATAACACTTGCCCTTTAGAGTTTTAAATCGCAAAGATCTGAAGGGCACTGCCACTTCACCCGTCACCCTGCGACATAAAGTGGACAAGTCCCGTGAACCTATAGTTTAGTAGCAGTATGGTTCTTTGTGAAAGAGATTCGTCCAGGGAAGTTGGTATCGCCACCTTACCTATTTCCATTTTTGTGATTTAAAGCTCTGAGTGTGAGTGGCACTGCTACTGTTATGGAAAGGTGCAGTGAGCATAAATAACAGTATAATATCATTGGACAGGTGTGTCGCTACCAAATGCACGATTTCTTCGTGTCCTCTCTTGGTATCATAAAAAAAAGTTTCACTAGCACTCTTACCCTTCAAAACTGGAACGCAGTAATGCTCATATTACTGTTTGGCGACATAAATAGGTGTGGTGGCAGTAGTTCCCTAGAGGAATTATTTCACAAGAAGTTCTATTGCTACTTAATAATGATGCGACTACATTAGACTCCAAAATAGCAGGGGGAAATCAGTTAGATGCAGTCGGCAAAAAAAAAAAAAGGATAGCTCACCAGCGGTTTTACGACTGCGTCACTGCGGCCTGCTGTTAGTATTTGTCCAAGGATTCAGCTCACGTGATAACATATCTAGTGATACATTTATCTCTTACCTTTAAATTATTTTGTTAATATTGTTAATACATTTCATATTAACGTATTAACGTTACAATTTTCTCACTTTACGAGATTAATATTTTAATTTCTCAATATTATTTAAATTATATTCGCCTGTTCCCGTGAAAATGTAACGACTGCCGAGTTTTACAATTCAGAAATATCAATGTACAGTGTTTGTAAATGTAAAAATTAAGCACTTTTAGAAAAGCATACAATTTTAGATAATAGCACTATGATTGCTATAACAGATTCTACTAGTAATATTGTATATTGTAATGAATTGATGTTTAAATTGTTTGCTAGAAATTGTCATAGTTTTACAGTTAGGGCGTTTCTTAGCCGACAAATAGCCTGATTCAAAAGCACTAATTGCAAATAATTGCAAATTTTATGAAACCATTCGAAGTCGCAAAAATTACTTTTGGTGCATGAAAAACATTGCATTATGCGACACCTAGAATTTTTTGTAGAAACTTGTAAATTGTGCTTTTTTATAGAAATTTGAAAATGGGGTTTTTTGCCACAGTGTTCTAAAATACACATTAAAAAGAGTGAGGTCTTGGAATTGAGTGAAACTTGTAATAGCAAAAAAAGTTCCACTTTATTTAATTTATTTATTAGCAAATAAATTAACTACAATATTTAAGTATGTACAAATAATACAGTAAGTCAAATTAAGAAAACTTTCCCTATAAGTAGTCCTTGTAGGCTATTGCAGGTTATAGAGTTTGGAATTCAAAGTCAGACGAGGCAATAATTTTGATAAATATCAAGTTAAATGAAACCAAGTATGATTACGAACAACATAATGATTACGAAAGACTCGTAAATAAAATAAATGTATATATTGATCAAACAGAAGAAGAAAAAGTAGCAGAAAAAGTAAGTCACACTGAAGTAGATAGAGAAATTACGACTTATAGAAGACCTAGAATAACAGTGAAAGTACCAAAATTATTTAAGACAAACTGTAATTACAAAAGTACAATGCTGTACTGTCTGAAACAGATCTTGTAAGAGGCTATTCAAATGTGTTCAGTTTTGAAATTAGCAATTGATAAAGAATTAAATGCAATAGAAGAATTCAAAGTATGGGCAAATCCTCGTATCTACTCACCAGTAGGCAAAATTACAATTGTACGACTTGCATTATCCCAATAATGTAATTTTTAATGAATGGGAAGTGTGACAATTAAATAATTACACCCACATCGTTGTTAGATAGATAGTTTTTAGGGACAGGGACATATCTGATACCACCAAAAGGTGTAGAAACAGCTAATAATAAAGAGACAAAGCTCTCTGTGGATTAAAAAAATCCAAAATGATGTAATATTTGTAGATAAAATTTTATGAAAAATTTACATGGTTGACTGCAAAATAAATGAAACGCCAATGGGGAATAATCAAGACAGGGATATAATAGGGGTTAAAGTATGAAATTGCCGATTTGTACTGAAAATC